TATATTTTTTTATTCATTCTCTATTCTCTCGAGTAGGTAGAGACATAAATAAAAGATTTAAATAATATATCCTTTTATTACTAATCGAATATTGTATTTATCCGTTGTTCAACTTAATTTATTTCAATGTACTCTACTTGATCCTTTCCTGAAAAATCGAATTAGACGAATATAGAATATCAATTTTTTCCGATAAATAATTCGCGAGAAGGAAATTTCAAAAGTAAAAATTTAACAATAACACGGCACACGAAAACGAGTCGGTGAGAAACTTTTGGCCACGAGCAACGAGAGATTCCACGACCGCAAGAAAAACTCTTTCCAATTCGCACTTACAGCGTCTCGCAATACCCTCTCCCCTCATCCCTGCCATGATTTTTCCACGAGAAGTATGGTTCTCTGAAACACTTCCGCGAACGGTGAAGTGACGTAAGTATCCTTCAACAATGCGACCACGAGTGCCATTAAATGCACAAATGCATCTCGAGTTTTTTCCGCATCGCGCGTGTTGATCGTAGATAAGCTCTCCGCGTGGTGAAACGAGAAGAAGGAGGAGGGGAAAAAAAAAAGAAAGAAAGAAAGAAAGAAAAAGAAAAATATACTTTCGAGGATAAATAGATTTGCACGCAGGCGCGAACATCTACGTCGGTAAAAATGGTTTTCGCTTACGAAACGGAATGCTCGCGTCTCCCATTCACGCGACTCGATTAATTACGCTCCTCTTGAATGTCGCGGAGCGTAAAAGCCCGTTTCGAGAGCAGCCATCCTTCTCTGTTTCGGTACATCTGGATATGCAGATTTTGCCTATTCAAAACCTTTGCAAAAACTTTTTTTTTTTTAACTATTGCATCCGTGGCGCATCCGTTTGAACGGTGAATCGTTTCCATTTTCTAATGGCCGAGATTTTCCGCCCGTAATCGCGCCCGATTCGCCGGGCTCGCCTCGTGTGAAGTGGAATTAATGGGGAAAAATAAACGCGCTCGTTGCTTCGACTGATATCTAGATGCAAAAGGAATGTTTGGAGAAAAAAAAGAAGGATTTTACTTTGAACGTAGGATGGAAGAAATAAAGCGGAGAAAAGAAGAGAAACGGTCCCCACTCGTTGAATATTATCGTTGATGTTTAGAGTACGTAAAGAAGAAAATCTGGATTTTATCTCGAATGTTCCGTTTTGATATTCGTGGATGGAAGAAAAAAGAGAGAGAAATGCTCGTTTTTCACTGCTGAATATTATTCGATATTTAGAGTACGTAAAAAAGAAAATCTGGATTTTCTTCACTGTTGAACCGATATTTAGAGTATGCAAACAAGAAAATCTGGATTTTATTTCGAATATTTCGTTTCATGCAATTGAAGAAAGAAAGAGAAAAGTACTCGTTTTCCACTGCTGAATATTATTCGATATTTAGAGTACGTAAAGAAGAAAATCTAAATTTTCTTCACTGCTGAACTGATATTCAGAATATGCAAAGAAGAAAATCGATATTTTATCTCGAATATTTCGTTTCAAGATTCGTGGATGGAAGAAAAAAAAGACAGAAACGCTCATTTTCCACTGCTGAATATTATTCGATATTTAGAGTATGTAAAGAAGAAAATCTAGATTTTCTTCACTGCTGAACCAATATTTAGAGTATATAAAGAAGAAAATCTAAATTTTCTTCATTGCTAAACCGATATTTAAATTATGCAAAGAAGAAAATCTGGATTTTCTTCACTGCTAAACCGATATTTAAAGTATGCAAAGAAGAAAATCTGGATTTTCTTCACTGCTAAATATTGATATTCAGAGTATATAAAGAAGAAAATCTAAATTTTCTTCATTGCTAAATCGATATTTAGAGTATGTAAAGAAGAAAATCTAAATTTTCTTCACTGCTAAATATTGATATTCAGAGTATGTAAAGAAGAAAATCTAAATTTTCTTCATTGCTAAACCGATTATGCAAAGAAGAAAATCTGGATTTTCTTCACTGCTAAACCGATATTTAGAGTATGTAAAGAAGAAAATCTAAATTTTCTTCACTGCTAAATATTGATATTCAGAGTATGTAAAGAAGAAAATCTAAATTTTCTTTATTGCTAAACCGATATTTAAAATATGCAGAGAAGAAAATCTGGATTTTCTTCACTACCAAATCGATATTTAGAGTATGTAAAGAAGAAAATCTAAATTTTCTTCACTGCTGAATATTGATATTCAGAGTATGTAAAGAAGAAAATCTAAATTTTCTTCATTGCTAAACCGATATTTAAAATATGCAAAGAAGAAAATCTGGATTTTCTTCACTGCTAAATATTGATATTCAGAGTATGTAAAGAAGAAAATCTAAATTTTCTTCATTGCTAAACCGATATTTAAATTATGCAAAGAAGAAAATCTGGATTTTCTTCACTACCAAATCGATATTCAGAGTATGCAAAGAAGAAAATCGAATATTTTATCTCGAATATTTCGTTTCGTGAATGGAAGAAAAAAAGAGAAAAGTACTCGTTTTCCACTGCTGAATATTATCCGATACTTAGAATATGCAAAGAAGAAAAATCGAGATTTTATCTCGAACGTTTGGTTTCGTGCAATTGAAGAAAGAAAAGGGGGAAGAGGACGATGAAAAAGTGGATCGAAAGAGAAAAGCGCTCGTTCTTCACTCGTTGAACCGATATTTGGCGTAAAGAAGAAAAAAAATTTTATCCAGAATTTCGTTTCGTGCAACGATTCTACAACGAAAGAAAGCGGATGAAAAAAGGAGAAGCACTCGTTCTTCACTTCTGAATATCCGATATTTAAGAAGAAAATCGGGATTTTATCTCGAATGTTTCGTTTCGTGCAACGATGCTCGTGGAATGGAAGGAAGAAAGCGGAGAGAATGAGAGAAAAGGGAGAAAGAGAAAGAGAAGATTCGAAAAAAATTTTTTTTTCCGTTTTATCGTCTGTGTGGAGAGAAAAACTTCTTCTTCGATTCGATAGGCAGTTGCAAAATGTTCAAATAAATAAGAAGAACGAATTGTTTGCGATGGATATTATTTTTATCAACGGAACAAATGTGCCTCAATGTACTTTCCTGCGTGTGGAACGATGCATTATGGATTTCCAATAGCGCGTAGTTTATCAGCCTTTAACGTAGCCTGTTTTTAACGTTCTATAAATCGCGTAACATGCATATTATTAGGTTAGATAATGTGCGATAAATTATAGTAACAGGATATTGCTCGGTAACAAGATAAAACAACATTTACGATTTTAAAAAAAATATATAAAATATAACGAAATATTGTTTCTTGCGATGCAGAATGCATGATAATTTTATTTATCTCTTTTTTTTTTTAATTAAATTCAGAGATCGAAAAATAAGAGATCGTAAAACAAATTGAATTATCAATTTTCACTAAAACAACATTTATTACGAATTTGAAAAAATATAAAATATAACAAATATTGTTTCTTGCGATGAAGAGCGCATGATAATTTTTACTTAAATTCAGAGATCGAAAAATAAGAGATCGTAAAACGAATTGAATTATCAATTTTCAAAACAATATTTACGAATTTGAAAAAATATAAAATATAACGAAATATTGTTTCTTGCGATGAAAAACGCATGATAATTTTTACTTAAATTCAGAGATCGAAAAATAAGAGATCGTAAAACGAATTAAATTATTAATTTTCACTAAAACAACATTTATTACGAATTTGAAAAAATATAAAATATATTTATTTACGAAATATTGTTTCTTGCGATGAAAAGCGCATAATAATTTTTACTTAAATTCAGAGATCGAAAAATAAGAGATGATTATAGAAACTATTAGATTGTAAAAAAAATTGAATTATCAATTTTCATTAAAGTAACATTTATTTAAAAATTTTATTTATTTATAAATTTAAAAAAATATAAAATATAACGAAATATTGTTTCTTGCGATGAAAAGCGCATGATAATTTTTACTTAAATTCAGAGATCGAAAAATAAGAGATGATTATAGAAACTATTAGATTGTAAAAAAAATTGAATTATCAATTTTCATTAAAGCAACATTTATTAAAAATTTGAAAAAATATAAAATATAACGAAATATTGTTTCTTGCGATGAAAAACACATGATAATTTTTACTTAAATTCAGAGATCGTAAATCGAATTGAATTATCAATTTTCAGAACAATATTTACGAATTTGAAAAAATATAAAATATAACGAAATATTGTTTCTTGCGATGAAAAGCGCATGATAATTTTTACTTAAATTCAAAGATCGAAAAATAAAAGACGACTACGTTATAGAAATTATTCGATCATAAAATTTCATTATCATCTTCTTCTAATACAACATGTCTTCTTCATCCACAATATCTTAGCACGATTGCATAACCAGTAATTCAAACGTTTCCTCCTCTACAGAATCTCCATACCCTACCTACACATAACGCGGCGATGAAGCTAGCCGCATTGTTGGCGAAATTGTGGTTCCTTCCACCCTATATACTCGAATGCCCAGGAGCGCGTTAACCCTTTCTAAACTCATTCACCAAAGGGTGGAAAAAAACGGTTTCGGCACTTTTGTGCATCCTCCCTCGCGTTCAAAGTGAACTTGACTCGTGATTCAACGAGATAACTTAAGAGACATTAACTTTACTCGTCGAGAAAGAATTTAGGATTTAATAATCTGAAAGATTAACGAACGAAATATTCGTGTATTTTTAAAACTTAAATCTTGATTATTGAATCTTTGAAAAAAAACATTTTAATAGAGTTATTTTTGGAAGATCAATTTTAGAAATCGAATCGAAAATGTAAAAAAAAAAAAAAAAATTGGTGTAGAAAATTTTTTGAAATTCGCGTTAAATCAACAGATCCTTAAAAATTAATTTACGAATGTATCGACAATTCGTGAGGTGTCAAAATCTCGTCAAATTATTTAATTACGTTACAATCGTATTTGAATGGAAAAAGAACGTTATTTCGATGGAATCGTGTTTTAAAGAACATGTTTTGCTTGCACGTTTTCGAATGATAACGTATAACGTTAAACTTAAGATTAAAATGAAATGAGGCGAATTATGGTGGAAGTTTATCGCGGCACGTTATTGCATTAATAAACGCTTCAAACCGGTAACCGGCACTTTGTAACGTGTATGCTTCTATGGTTGCACCTTAATCCATGTCTGGGTTATGCCGAAGACCTTCAATCGCAATTAAGCTTTATGGGGAAGGCTGATACACGCATGCAAAGCGTTCGTTTCACCCGGAACTTCACTGCCAGCGTTTCTTGTGCACCATCTTCCATATCGATGCTCTACCAAACGTTTACTTCGATGTTATATATTTGATAGATTTTGCACAAACGAAAACTGGAAAACTTCGAGCGAAAAGAATAATTTCTTGTACGTAATTAACCTCTTGCGTGTGATATTTTTTAAATTGGTGACATTTTTTTAAGTAACTAGAAAAAAAAGAGAAGAATTGTTAGATCTATGATGAATTATTGGATAAATCGTGGGCGATTAAATTTTTCGAATCCGCATGTCCAAACATAACCTCTTAAAGAACATCGACACGACACATACGTGTACGTTATATTTTTTAAATTGGAAAAATTTTCAAGTAATTGGGAAAAAAGAACAAATAAAATAACTATTAGATGCTATTATGTACATACGTATGTATAATAATGATGATCGTTCTTCGAATCCATAATGATTCGTAAATTCGTAACTTAACCTAACCTCTCGAAAGACATCGCGCAGTGTGTATTATTCTTAAACGTACGTACGTAATATTTCTTAAATTAGAAAAAAAAAATTTTAAATAATTGGAAAAGAAAGGAAGACAATGAATAAATAGAAAGAAAAAATTATTAAACAAACCTGTGGGCGATCGTTTTCCGCAACCATGGTCGGCGATGCATCGTTATCGTTATCGGTTGCAACACACGTCCATCCCACGATCTCTCCCGTTTTCGGTATAGAAAGGGAGAGAGGCGTGGCCAACGCACGATAACGCGTCAAGTTTACGCCGCGTTAATTTATCGATAACTGGCGGTGAATCAACAACGATGGATAAAGTCGTCGTTGGACCCGTTCAAGGTGCATTTACAGATGTCGATAAGTGGTCAGACTGGTCGTAGACGCGGTAACATGGGTGGACACCTTGACGTTGATCGAGTTACGTGGAAACGTTTTCCACTTTGCCGTTTCTCCTCTCCTCCCTACTTTGATACAATTAGCTCTTGGTTATACGGAATTGAGATCTAGAAACAAGCGATTACGAGGACTCCTGGAGTTAAAGGTGGATCTCTCGTGCGGAGGGTTAATTTCGTACCAGTTAAAGTGTCGTTGACCTGGCGCTGTTTTGCGCGGAACAAGAGTATCTTTCTATGTGTTTAGGGGGAAGTCTCTCTCTGGGAAGCGTGACATTTGCGTTTCTTTCTTTTCTGAAATATAAATTTATGAATATCTAGAAGGAAAAAACTTGAAATCTAAGGGAATTTAAGAGTTTTGAAAAATCAATTATTAAGTTAAAAGTTAAAAAATAAAAATGTCAAGATGAATTTTAAATTAATGTTTTCGAAATTAATAATTCAAATAATTCGAATTGCAACAATCTCTTTTTAACGCAATTAAAAATTAACGAACAATAATTTTCTGAGAAGAATATTCGACGAGAAATTTGCTCTCGCAAAAAACATTCTAGTTTAAGAAACGCAGAATTGAACCTAACCTAACTCCAACACTTTGTAACCGACCGCAAAGAAAGCGCGCTTAATTCCGGAAAGCACTCGAATATTTCATCTCCAAAACTCTCGAAAAACTCATCAACATCCACCAGAGCTTAACCACACTCAACCCTTTTCCTGAAATGTATCCTTCGTAATTATCACGACTCGCCAATGGCGAGTTTACCGTATTCTCCCGATCGATGGCGCAATAATCGCGATAGTCGCAATAAACGAAGCTGTAAAATAGCTCGAGAACGTTCCAGTAGTCCTTTATTGTTTCTTTTTCTTTTTATTTATTTATTTATTTTTTTCATTATATTAGAATATGGTATATCTCTCCTCTGATAATATTTCATCGACCAAGGATCATCAATGCTGAAAAAAGTAGAGTTGTAATATCAGATCCAAAAAATTAAACAAAATAATATTTTCAAACAATGTTTATTTGTACAGGATAATATATTTAAGGAATATTTTGAAGGTAGATATTAAACTAAGATTGAAAACAAATACGAAAGTACGTAAAAATGTTAAGGCTTATTTATCAAGCTGTGAGCAATTATATTAGGTTAGGTTAGAAAGTTTGTGAAAGGAAACGAAGATAAAGCGAGATAGTTCTATCTTCATCCAACTTATTAAATTAATAAACCTCAATATTCCCGTACATCGACTTATATTTTCTCTTAAAATCAACGTTCCAAAAGTTAGTTCCAAAGTATTCCACGAATATAGGGAGCCCGGTACATAAATATTTCGCTTTATTTCCATTGTTCCACACGAACTTATTCGAAACTTTCAGTCTGACAATCGGCCGCGAATCTCTCGGCGGAAACGAGGATCTGTGAACGTTCGTTCCATCACGGAAACCAAGTCCGGCTCGCGAGAAGATTAAATTTGTCGTGGACTCGTTCCACCGCGTTGACGGTCGGTTGATGGTCGTTGGAAGAGTTTCGCGACCAGTCCCGACAGGCGTGTATCTCCGCGAGGTCGACGTCTCCGCACTCACCATGACGAATGTTACCCGATATCTCGCGCCACTGTCCGCCGGGATTCTTCCCCGTCTTGTCTCCCGCTTTTTCGCAGTACCACTCTCGTTTCGCGTACCTTTCACGGTCCGCGTCTCCTTTTCCGGCACTCGAGCTTTTTAGTCTCCGCCTTTCGCTTTCCGCTTCTTTGCCTCTCTTCTTCTTTGCCTACGTTTGTTCCAAAGTGGAAACGGATGATTCGATTGACGGTTGGTAAGATAGGGATTGGATGGAATAGGGATGTGTTATATTCTATGAAATTATTGAGAATTTGCTATCGCAATTTTTTTGAATCGATAAATCATTATCGATCTTGAGTGAAGTGAATCCATTCGAGAGAAAAATTGTTTAGAGTTAATTCTTAAAAGTAGAATGCGTGTTTTAAGTGGAAAAATAAATGTTTTTGCTCTCGTCTAGAAAAATTTTGAACGAAGATCGATCGAATTGTTATCGATTTGAAAAATTTTGAAGAATAAAAGAGAGTCGCTCTCGTAATATATTCTTTCGCGAGTATATGTCGTTTTTAAATGACAATTGCACGATTAGCTTTTTTATTCATACGATTCATATGAAACTTAAGACCCGACGATTGACAGACAAGAGTACAACAGTAACAATTCGATATCCACGTGTAACGCAATGCTGTAATGCACGTTTCTTACGTCTCGTTCATCTTGTTTAAATGAAACAATTTTATTTTAACTCGATATCACACTCGCTCGATGTTTCTTTTTTTTTTTTTNTTTTTTTTTTTTTTTTTTTTTTTTTTTTCGTTAGATTCAACGTTCGATCTTCTATTTGGACACCGCGCGCACATCACTAAATTGGCGACGACAGCGCTCACATGACAACACGGAAAGGAGAACAGAGTGTTTACTTAAAGCAAACAAGTTAAATATACTTCGTAGACCGTTCGCAGTTTTGTGTTATTTTTCGGAGGAAACCGGTCGATCGAATAATAATTGTGCTCGTATTGGTTACGTGAATTAAAATCTACGTAATTCTATGTGACATTTAAATCTCAAGATTATTATTTTGATAATATTATTAACAGTGGCAGATTTAAATTTACTTACGATTTTAGGGTTAGGATAAATTTTATCCCTTCTCTGATAAAGAAATACACGTATTATGTATTAAACATTCAAATCGGATACAATGTCAGTACCTGTTACGTTATGGGGCTTGGTTTTGTTATCGTTATATCGCTTTGTTCGCGATATTATGTCAACACCAATATAAAGCGAGCGCTTTTATACGCTTGTTATTGTATTGATTATTCGACGTGAAAACATGCAGACAAACATACATACCTTATTCTGAATATCTGCTGAAAATATTTTCTACGTGATATCTTATTGGAACTAATTTCAATATTTTTTTCAAATATCATTAGAATATATATCATTAGAATTTGTAGAAAAATTTTTCAATTAATAAAATGGTATAAACGAAAAATTGGTGTATGCGAAAATTTCGATTTTTAATTTATTTAATAACTTATAACTTGATAAATAAAACTTCGATATTTTTGTATACTATTTTGTGTCCACTTTTCTCTTCTAGATTCGACCTTTCGAGAATATGTCAACATTCTGTGGGCAATAATCTTAATTGGAAAAAAAACTCGGTCTGTTTTTTGGTATAGCGTTACTAGGAACGAGGTCCAACCGCACCAGCTCGGTGAACGAGCTTAGTCACGTTTTTTCTTTTCTTCTTTCGATACGTAACAGCAATGCGCACAGCAAGGTTAACCGAACGGCGATATACACAACCGGTTGTTGACATTCGATTCCACCCGATTAACCGAGCCGATTTGGATAAGGACAGGCAAGTAGCCTATCGTTGGAGTTCGCTGTGAAAACGGCGAGTGTACAAGTGTAAGCCGCAGACCGGAAACGTGCAACGCACAAGATAGATCCGCTTAGCCGGAGGGATTAGTAAAGGTAGACGGAGCACAATCGTAGGGTCAAGTCGGGCCGGCGGACCCTACAACAAACACTCGACCGCCGTCGTCACTTGTCAATTCTCCGTCTGTGTTTTCCGAATCGATCCTTTCTGTTTTCTTTCTTTCTTTCTTTTTCTTTTTTTTTTTTTTTTCATTTATTAAAGAAAAATTGTGATGAATTATTGTAAAATGTATTACATGTCGAAGAATAGGAATAAAAATAAGAATCTGGTATTATTTTGAAAGATCAATATTCATTCCATTGAAAGTGATATTAATTTTTTCTATTTAACGTGTATAAGAAAGTATTGGAGTACTTTTTTATTTTTTAATAAAATTTTGTTATTGGACAGAACGTGAATGGATCGCATATAAATTTCTTTTTCATTAGGATTTTAAAAGGATGAAATCAATGTTCAAAATTTTCAATTTTCATTATATTTAAATATAACTTTTTAATGATGTCGGCTAAAACAAAATTTTAAATTAAAAAAAATGTTCAAAATTTAATACTGTAAAAAAAAAAGTAGAAATGGTATCAAATATTGGAAAGAAATGTTGTTCTACTTATATTCGCTAATTATATTCTACATATGTATAAAGTTTCATTAAAAATCAGAATTTTCGAATTAAATAAATTTTTTTATAAAATAATGTTCAAATACTTTCACGAATCATTTTCTTTAAAATAAATACATAATATCTTATTTACTTTTATTAGAGAAACTTTTATATATTATAAATTATATATAATATAATTATATATAATTATATATTATAAATTATCATTTGTCTGGCATTGCAACACATGATTTTTTATTATTTCAAGACTTCCTTCTCCATTGACAAGTTATGAACGATAGATATCTTTCCCTTAAACATTTCCAAATTATCGTTTAATTACTTTTAAAACTTTCTTCTCCATCGATAAAAATTATAGCCTTAAGCGATGAATTTTCATTTATAAATAATAAATTTTTTTCCCTTAATAATAGCTTAAAAAGTTATAATATAAAATATAAAAAGTTATAATAGCTTAAAGTTAGTTTAAAATATAAAAAAAAAAATTCTACTTCATAATAAAAGAAATACACTTAACTCGTCAAAAAGTATACAAAAAGTTAACGTCAATATTCGTGAAGAACGAATATACAATTTTTCAGTCGATTAACGTTTGAACTTTCACGGGCAGGAAACGGGAGTGGAGATATTTTCGTCCATCCCCCTCCCCCTCCTTCCTCCAGCGCGCGTTAAATTGGTATATAGAAACTTCTTATTGGGGGTGGTCTCTCTTCGATAACAGGACACAGCTACTACCCTCTTGTTACGATAATAAAAAGGGGAGAATGACTAGGTGACGTCATACGCCATATTCAAGGCCCCCACCAATAATTGTCCGCCCGTGTTTGCGATATTGGTGCACGCCCACTTTGGCCGTATACAAAAATCGTTGGAGCATGTTACACGTGCGTTTATGCCCTCCCCGTGTTATATAAATAGGACCCGTTTACAAAGGAATGGTATGACGAATCGTATAGGAAAATCGAATAAGGCGGATATAAAAGAAGGTAATGTTCCGCTGCGGTGTTCTTTGTTGTTCGCGTTTCCGCCGATAAAAAAAAAAAGAAGAAAGGTTTCATCTTTGGGAGGGCTCAGTATCCAGTAACACCATTATCTTGATTCATTAACAATTCTCGCTTCCATCTTCGTTTGAAATCGTCGTCTGTCGAGCGGAAGTCATCTGTGAAAAAAAGAACCAGAAGCTTTATTCATAATTTTTTTATCAATGAGACGCGATATTATAGGTTTGTTAATTTACAACTTAGTATACATTATATATCTATTCTATATATATATAAATAATATTGTTAATTTACAACTTAATGATTCGTTGTTATCTTCTAACCGAGAATAAAATTAATAAGTAATATCTGATAACTGTGGGCGAATTGTATTTTGAGAGAAAAAGCTATCTATTTCTTGTTATAAGAATAATTTATATAAAATATCAGAATAGTTAATTTTTTTAATGTAAAAAATATCGTATTGAATTATTCGAAATTCATCCTCACAATTGAATATATCCGAGTAACTTTTCTTTAATGTCAAATTTTTCTCTCGTATCAAATATATATATATATATATATATATATATATATATTTTAGAGGAAA